ATATATATATATATATATAGTAAAAAGGTAAAACATATCTGTTTTTAAAATGTTGAGTTATATGTAGTATAATATCAAACTATTTATTTTAAAAGATTTGAGTAAAACAATTAAAAAAAAGGATAAATCATTATTTAATAAAATATAAAACACTATGTATATAAAATGTGTCATATGTAGGATAATATAAAAATAATTATTTTAAAAGATTTAATGAGTAAAATAATTATGAAAACATAAGGTAACAACAAAATCATTTTTTAATAAAAAAAACAATATAAAGTAAAAAGGGCACAAAATATTTAAAATGTTACAAAACAATGTAACATAATATTAAATTAAAATAATAATAAAAAAATATGAATGAATAAAAAAAAACTATTGAATTTGTATCACAGTATCACTGAGACAACTTGCCCCAACCTGATCGTGCATTATTAAAGTGCCCCTATTATGGATTTTTGAAAATTATCTTTCATGCAGTGTGTGTAACAGCTCTAAGTGAATGAAAACATCCTGCAAAATTGTAAATCTGAAAGTGCATTGTCTCTCAAAAGAAAGAGTAGATTCTGAATCATTGAAACGAGTGAAACTTTTTAAAATGAATCCCAAGCCGTTACATGTCGACGTCAACATGAAACATTAGCATATTGCCCGCCCATTCTTTGCCACTAGGTGCAGCTTTTGGAGCGGTAAAAATAACGGTTTCCCCGGTAACGCTGTACGCAAAGCAGCACTGTGCTCACAAACGCTGCTTTATACGGCATTACAGGCAAGATGAAATTAAAATGAGAGCAATCGGACCAATCACCGCAGATTAGCGTCACGCAAAGGAGGGGTTTGGAAAAATGAATCGTTGTGGGAATCGTTTGGGAGTCGCTGAGCAAATAAGGTAAAAAATAAACGCATATTATAAGACAATGAAAGTGTTTTTTGACATTGCGTGCATGTCAACCTGTTGTTGGGGACTCCCAAAACCAAAATATGAACCTTTCATTACCCATAATAGGGGCACTTTAAAATGTTATAGTTACATAATACAACTTCCCCCATGTGACAACTAGCCCCGGTCTCTCTATGGAGACATGTGGCATATGGTTTAGGGCAACTCACAGTAACACCCTCTGCCTCACAGTACAACTGCAGGGGACTCATGCCCTCAGCAAAGTGGATGTTCTGGAAGTTAATGGCTGGAGATCTTCTCTCTCTTTCCTGGGGAAAAAAAAGAGCATCGTTATTATTCTTCTGTTCCTGTAGATTAAATCTGTGTCTGACACACTTGCATACACATGACACACTTTGGAGTAGAAAGATCTTCAAGTCAGACTCACTTCAAGTTCAAGAATTCTGAACTCCAGGAGTTCGTTTTGGTCTTTCGCATCCTGAATTTCATTTTTCAGTCGCGTCTCCTCCGTCTCCATATTTTTAATCTGGGAACAAAAAACACAAAGTGTGGGGTAAAAAAAAAGGCATCTGACAGGAAAACTGGCTGTGAAACAAATGAGCTGCATTCATCTCCTCCGTCTCCATATTTTTAATCTGGGAACAAAAAACACAAAGTGTGGGGTAAAAAAAAGGCATCTGACAGGAAAACTGGCTGTGAAACAAATGAGCTGCATTCACTGCCTGAAATCGGCTTCATGAAATTAATTAAAACCACAGCTGAACTACTGAAAGAGGGTCATTTTGGGGGTCATTCCTATAATTTGGTGCCTTTGTAACATGAATAAAGAAGCCTTTTTTGTCTTTACACACAATTTTCCCAAAGTCATTCAGGTCAAACTTTAAAAACTTAAACTGAGTTATTAATAGAAACATTTTGAAACGTGCTCTGATTGTGATATTCGTCTTCTATCAGTCTGATGAACATGAACGTCACCCACCTTTTCTACAAGCTCTTGGTTGCGTTTATACAAAGCTTGTTTCTCCTCAATCCACTTCATATCCTGAAAAATGCATATAATATGAATGCAAATGATTTTAAAAATTCAATACTAGAAGATCTTATCATGTAAAATCCCCTCCAACACTCTCCCAGACTCATTCTCCTTCAGTGCATCTCTGATCCCAGAGCAATTTCAGCATTCAGATTCTGTTCACATTCTCTTCACTCACCGAATATATGGGATTACTTTTAGGGTTGTCATCATATGTGTGTGTGTTGCCACAAAATAAACCTCGATTTAGACTACAAGTGGCCCTCGGGTAGAAACAAATATTCAAAGACTGCTGGAAAGTCACCATAAGACATATTCATCATCTCTGATAAAATTATATTTCTTTCAATGGGGTCCAAAAGTTACACAGCAAAAGTTTTGGTTCGCTTTGTATTACATTCTGGATCCTTTACAGTGAATGGGTGCCGTCAGAATGAGAGTCCAAACAGCTGATAAACACATCACAATAATCCACAAGTAATCCCCACCACTCCAGTCCATCAGTTAACATCTTGTGAAGTGAAATGTTGCGTGTTTGTAAGAAACAAATCACTTGTGGATTATTGTTTTGTTTTTATCAGCTGTTTGGACTCTCATTCTGACGGCACCCATTCACTGCAGAGGATCCACTGGTGAGCAAGCAGCATACTGCTACATTTCTCCAAATCTGTCCTAATGAAGAAACAAACTCTCCTACATGTTGGATGGCCTGAGGGCGAGTACGTTTTCAGCAATTTTCATTTTTGTAAACTATTTCTTTAATGGAATTATGCAAGTACAACTGTGCTAAACGTTATTTTGCAGTTCTAACGGTAACAGTGCTGGTGTTTTACCTGTCCCTGATGACTTAGAACACACTCCAGATCTGCTATTCTGGTCTGGTACCGGATCAGTTCGGCCTGAAGCTGCTCTCGAGTCTAAAACAGACAAACAATTATAATTTATGCACATCTGTAACGAAAAAAGAAAAGAAAAGAAATGCCATTTGTAAACCATTCTACTTTTGTGTATTTGAGTAAAATATTATATTCAATTAGGAAACAAATGTAGGGCGGGACTTAATTTTGATTTTCAGGAATTAATTGGATTGTGAAAAGTGGGCGTTGCCAGAATGTTGATTGAAGGTGATTGGAGGAAAGGAGTTGAAAACGAAGATGGAATTTTATTTAAATGAAACGATTACGATGATCAAATATTTTGTTCTTTAGAATAATGTGGTCTGTTTTGATTTCATGGTGATGTTGATGTTTATTTGATTTTTTATTTAAAAGTTAAACTAAGAATATTTTGGGGTGGGGGGTGGGGCAAATGTTTTGTGAATCTGAATTTTGTACCAAAGAGATATTACTACAGAAATGGAGACCGAGTGACTGGCAAAATGTCCTGTCACTCGTTGTGGTCAAAAACGCTCTATTGCATTTCCTGGTTATGACACGGTGTAATATTGCAAAAAGAATCATATTCATATAGTGAACTACACAGCCATCTGCTAATAGTTGAGATGTTGTTGTTAAAGAGAGTGAATATAAATATTGCATGGCTGGGATGTTTAAATGATTTACCTTGACCTCTTTCTCTGCATCAAACGTTCCTCCCACCTGCTCCTGCAAGAGCGCGTAAGCTCGCTGAAGAGCCTGATACTCCATCGTCAGCTGACGGAAGCGCAGCTCTGTCTCCTCCTTAAGCATTCCCTGAGCACAGAGAGACGACAGGTTTACGGTCATAGTTTACAGAGACACACAAACACACACACACACACACACACACACACACACACATCTTCGAGGTCATCGTCTGGCGTGCAGGGCGTTCGGTCTGTGTGGTAGGAAATAGAGGAGCCGTCCGAGTCTATAGAGCCTTCCTCATCATAGCCAAAAAACGTCTCCACCACCGGCTATGGAGAGAATGAGAGAGAGATTTTGTTTTAAAAACCTTTTTGACCCAAAGAAGTTTAATTATACAGAAGGTAAGGAAAAAGAAATATACAATAATAATAATAATCAAATAAAAAAAATTAGCTCAGATTAAACATAGCAACAAATACTTACAGAGAAAATAGGCTTATATTCTTCATCAAAAATATAATCTAAATATATTTCTTGATCGTTTCTGTGAGAACCACAGGGTTAATTTTCATTGTTGCGTAAATTAATATATATTTTTAAAAATACATAAATAAAACATCACTAGGATTAATCAGTGGTGCATAATCATAAAATGATAACATTACATAATAATTATAATGGTAAATTGTAGTACTAATATAAAAACATATGCATATTCAATGCATAATTAAATTATATCAATCAGTCAATAAAATATAAACAAACAAAACCTAAAATAATAATATTTTAAAATAAATATTTCATACATAAAATATGATAATAAAATAAATGCATTATTACAAGTATATGATTATCAAAACTAAACAACATACAAGCAAATTAATAGATGAAATGATGCAACATTTCAAGCAAATATTCTATGCACACTATGATTATAAAAAGGAATGTATAATTAACCTTAAAATGCATAATCACGAATAATGCAATGTACGAGTAAATATACGTTTAATTTATATAGCTCCTTTCCCAAGCTCAAGGACGCTCTACAAGGTACACCAAAGCAGCAAATATTATAATAAATATTATGGAGGAAATGAGTTGAAAACTAAGATGGAATTTATTTCATTTAAATGAAACGATTACGGCAGCAAATGTTTTGTGAATCTGGATTTTGTACCAAAGAGATATTATTACAGAAATGGAGAAAAAAATGTCCTGTCACTCGTTGTGGTCAGAAACGCTCCATTGCATTTGCCTAAATAGTATATAAGAATAAGACATTATGGAATTATGCAGAAATGTAAAATAATAATGTTTTTATTTTATTCTTTTGATGATTTAAAATGTAACTTTTTTTATTAATGGGAAAACTACTTTATAAAAGGTCTTGTTTTGTTTTACATTGCCAGGATGTTTGATTTTTTTTTCACCTTCATGATTGCATCTTACGTGCACTTAAAAAAAAATGTGTTTGACAATAAATTGTGTCAGTCCTGCTGTCTGCGTACCCTACAGGTTCTGAAGGGCTTCTTCCTGCGTAGGCTGTCCTGTCTCCTGTATCTCAGCAGCATGTCTCTCTCCTGAGAAACAAGATCAAAACAAGATTAAAATTTAAGAAAAAAACACAAACTTGCATCAGATTCTCTATAAAAAAAAATGTGTTTGACAATAAATTGTGTCAGTCCTGCTGTCTGCGTACCCTACAGGTTCTGAAGGGCTTCTTCCTGCGTAGGCTGTCCTGTCTCCTGTATCTCAGCAGCATGTCTCTCTCCTGAGAAACAAGATCAAAACAAGATTAAAATTTAAGAAAAAAAACACAAACTTGCATCAGATTCTCTATCATACATGAACATCTCATTTCTATAAAGTACAAGGTGCTATTTCCACTACACTTCCAGTTTTACAGAAAGAAAGGAATGCATGCAGCTGTATTTACATTATGTCTGAACCTCACATACAGTGCATTACTCACTCATTTCAGTTGCTAATTTCATTCACCCTTTAAGAAAACAGATATTTCTGCAGACATTTTCATCTGGGTTTTGTTAGGTAACATGTATATGCAAAAACATATTTTAGCATTTCACAGTGTGAATATTTCCCAGAGGCAAAATGACTCACTATCACACTCTTCACGTATCCAGCGGTTTCCAGCGCCTGGCAATTAAAGCAGACTGATCAGAGAACAGCAAGACACAGTTTGCATGTATAACTACTTTTATAAAACTGACCCCATATCACTGAATTCCTAAATACTTTTTTGTGCATCCATGTGAGAAGAAATGCTGATACCTTGGACAGTTCGTCGATTATGTTCTGTTGCTCCAGCACTTGTAGTCTGAGAAACTCAATTTCTCTTTCTTCTTGACTCTGATCCAGATCGTTCAGAGAACTGGGCCGGCGAATCGTCCCAGCCTTCTCTCGCTGCAAAATAAAACATCCAGTGACCGGATGTGTGCACAGAGACTGCTGACATATAATTACTCATGTCTGATGAGTTGTCATAATGATCAGATCATTTAGACATGAGCAGCAACAAGACTCGATGCTGAACGACTCAACCGACAAATAGTTTACATGCAAACAAGGCCATGTTACATAAAGATGCTTCAGTATTCAAAGCTAATGTTTTATGCAAATAGTGTGAACTTCATCTGAAAAGACTACTTCAGTATCAAACATACATAAACAGGTTTATGCAGTAAAATAGGCAGATGGATGCTTCTTTTGTCTAGGGAATCAATCAAAATAACAGTAATGTGCCTGAGCTGCAAATGGCCAATTATGTCGAATGACAGTGGAGCCGTTGTTGGATATAAATTGATCAAAACAGAACCGGCTCTACCAGCCCCCTCATCATGCATTTACTGCAATAAGTACATTTCCAAGAGTAATAATAAGAAATGCATAGAAATGTATAATCACTACATTAGAATGATTTCTGGAGGATCATGTGACACTGAAGACTGGAATAATGATGCTGAAAATTCAGCTTTGAATCACAGGAACAAATTACATTTTAAAACATTTAAAACCATTATTTTCAATTTTTATAATATTTCACAATATGTCTGTTTTTATTCTCTAATTGTGACCCTGGGGCACAAAACCAGTCATAAGTAGCACAGGTATATTTGTATCAATAGCCAACAATACATTGTATGGGTCAAAATTATCTATTTTTCTTTTATGCCAAAAATCATTAGGATATTAAGTAAAGATAATGTTCCATGATGATATTTTGTAAAATTCTTACTGTAAATATATTAAAACGTAATTACTGATTAGTAATATGCATTGCTAAGAACTTCATTTGGACAGCTTTAAAGGCGATTTCTCAATATTTTTATTTTTATACACCCTCAGATTCCAGATTTTCAAATAGTTGTATCTCGGTCAAATATTATCTTATCCTAACAAACCATACATCAATGTACAAATCTCAATTTTGAAAAATTTACACTTATGACTGGTTTTGTGGTTCAGGGTCACATTTTTGATCAAATAAATGCACATGATTTTAAAAGTTCATGTGATGTAACTGTAAATTCTTAAAACTAAAATTATGCTATATAGTCTCTCAATTAAAAAGGGCTCATACTATGCAAACACAGACATGTTCAGTGAGTTATTTCACTTCATTACCATTTCGATGTTCTCCTGAGTGACAAAGTGCAGTTTGTTCTCCATGCGTCTCAATGCATGAGCCAGCTCCTCATTCTTGTGGCTGAGACGTCTGTTCTTGTCTAGTAATGGCTTATACTGGCTCTCAGCTTCACGGAGACGCTTTAACTGGGCACAAACACACACAGAAACAGGGGGTAACTAAATAATATTTAAATACTTAAAAATGCATGAATATCATTCCTTTAGGAAGGACAGCTATACTGATTTCAGAAAATACTTTTACAAATAAAACCTGCAAAGTTATTTATTTTGAACACAATGCAATCTTTCAAAATGTGATCAGAGATGTTGCAAAATTAAATGACCTGGACTGTACATTTGAAGAACCAAGACTGTCTAACTAGTTGGACAATTTGTTTAAGACATGAAATCTAAACTGATAGAGAAAGCGACTTGGCTATTTCAGTCTACTTGAACATCAAGTCATTGTCGAGGACTGTATTGAGTGGTAAACGGAGTCCTAACCCTTGCTGAAGGTTTCAGCTGCCATGTCTAAATCACTCTGTCTCTGTATTGATCTTTAAGACTGTCTGAGCTGAGAGGAGGAAACACTGAAGTCATTCATCACTGCTCACATACTCACCACCATTACAGAGAACATTCACACTGTCACATAACACTAAGAAAGGCAAAAACACTCTTTAATACGCTATGATATTACAGTAAATACAAATACAGAAGACACACTACATATATGTGCTCATTTAAGCACAAAGCAATCACAGTTTCGAAAAGAAAAATAACAATTACTTATAGGCAATTTTTAAGAAGGCTGAATTAGTTTTTGGACCAAAGAAAACGAACAAACAGACAGACAGACAGATAGATAGATCTATAACAAGTAAATAAATAAGTAAATATATAAAGATTTCTACCATAACAATAAACTAAAACAGAACAAATATGACATAAAATAAAATAAATATTTTTACCATAAAGTAAAACATTAAATAATTTTTTCCATAACAATAAAATATAAAATAAATAAATAACTAAATATTTTAGCAAAACAATAAACATAAAAGATAACAGAAATAAAATTATATATATATATATAAAGGGTTCTGGTCGTCCCACACGTCTTCCATTTAAGGATTATGGAGGCCACTGTGCTCTTAGGAACCTTAAGTGCAGCAGAAATTTTTTTGTAACCTTGGCCAGATCTGTGCCTTGCCACAATTCTGTTTCTGAGCTCTTCAGGCAGTTCCTTTTGACCTCATGATTCTCATTTGCTCTGACATGCACTGTGAGCTGTAAGGTCTTATATAGACAGGTGTGTGGCTTTCCTAATCAAGTCCAATCAGTATAATCAAACACAGCTGGACTCAAATGAAGGTGTAGAACCATCTCAAGGATGATCAGAAGAAATGGACAGCACCTGAGTTAAATATATGAGTGTCACAGCAAAGGGTCTGAATACTTAGGACCATGTGATATTTCAGTTTTTCTTTTTTAATAAATCTGCAAAAATGTCAACAATTCTGTGTTTTTCTGTCAATATGGGGTGCTGTGTGTTCATTAATGAGGAAAAAAAATTAACTTAAATGATTTTAGCAAATGGCTGCAATATAACAAAGAGTGAAAAATTTAAGGGGGTCTGAATACTTTCCGTACCCACTGTATATATAAAAGGGCTGGGTTTTGACACAAATTTCACGATTCGAATCGATTCTCATTCACAAGCTTGTGATTCGATTCGATTCAATTACCAATTCGATTCGATTATTTTGGATTTATATCGGGTACAGTACATAGCAAATTATCTCTCAACTAATGCTGTAAAATATACATGAGAGTCAGTTGGTATACATTACTATAATATTGAAGGTTAAATTTGACTGATTTGTTAATTTCACTTAATGAAGTTTTTAAAATAATAAAGTTACAATTACATAATATTTCTACTTCAATTCGTTTTTTAAAAATATAAACATAATGGTGGCTGACTGTCATAAAAACTTGATGGATTTATTCAAACATTGAAGAACAGTAAAGGTGTATTATGAATATGTTATATGGTGCATATATTTAGCAAAATGCCCCTCTCTACAGTTTATGTTTCTATCTGACTAATGAGTTTATGGTCACCGAATATGTTTTTCTGAGGTAAATGTGACGTTACGTGACATTGTTTACAAGCTGTTATATTGATGTCTTTGTGCGGCTGAAACACTGATTGAGCGATTACATGAGACAGGATACGGATTGTAAAGTTGTACTCTTTCTTTTAACCTTCGGATGTTTAGTCATGTTTATTTTGTGCTGAAGCTGGTATTAATGTGGAGGAGATGATCAGTTCACGTGCACCTCGCGCTGTTGCGTCTGTTGAACTGAGGCGCTACAGCGATCTGTCACTCCACATTAAACACCAAAACGGCATTAATTGTTTGAATACGGCAATACAATGGACAGAATAGGAAATCTGAGACTTTGTTTCATATTAAAAGTACCAACGCACAATGCTTATTGCGATATATTGGACGGGAAGTGCCCTTCAACGGTCCGTCCATTAACTGTAAACAGGCTAGACTAATCGATTCTTGGGATTTAAGAATCGATATCGTTCCGTAAAAATGAGAATTGATTAATATCGAGACATCGGTATTTTTTTACCCAGCCCTAATATTTTTAAAATCAAGTAAAGTAAAGTAAAGTAAAGTAAAGTAAAGTAAAGTAAAGTAAAGTAAAGTAAAGTAAAGTAAAGTAAAGTAAAGTAAAGTAAAGTAAAGTAAAGTAAAGTAAAGTAAAGTAAAGTAAAGTAAAGTAAAGTAAAGTAAAGTAAAATAAAAAGTCAAACTAGCACAGACTCACCAGTTCATTGCGTTCCTCTGACAGCAGTGCATTGCGGACTTCTAGTTTGCGGATAATAGCACTCAGTTCTGCGATTTTCAGTTGGAAACGTCGAGCGTCCTTCTCATCCAACTGCTGCATCTGGAAGACAAACCAACTGCAGGTAAGTGGAAAAAACACTCGTCATTCGTATATTTTTGTAATGTTAATCTATCCATCCATGTCTGTCTGTCTGTCTGTCTGTCTATCTATCTATCAACCTGCAAGGCTTCTTTAAACATCATCGACAAACATCAAAGTCTTGATATATATACACTTTTTATTTATTTTATTTCAATTCCATTTGGTGTTGCTGTATTTAGGAAATATTCCATTATGTCAGGTAACCATAGAAACAGTCAGAGGAGGGAATAGAGTCAGAGCGCTCTGGCGTGGCCACATCTGACAAAGAGCTGAAAGGTCACTGATCAAACCCATCTTTTCTCCCGCAGAGAAAATGAAAGCAGCAGCTCCGCCACAGCAGAAGCAGACCTCAAACCCACAGCAACACAAATACAGCCAGAGACACGGACGTTCTGCTGCAGGGAAACAAGCCTCGGCTATAGAGACGCACGACTGAACGTGTGAATACAAAGTGTGTGCATCCATGCATTTCCTAACAGCCCTGAGAAGGTGATATGTGGGAAAGATCACACTCACACTCTCACCTTCAGCAGTCTGCTCTGTGCTGCATGATGACGGAGTGAAATGCCCATCTCACAGCTAAATCTATTTTTATAACTGTATATTTATATCATTATATATTTGACTAAACAATGGGAAACCTGAGGAGAGTTTAAACTTGTTGGAAACGAGTCATCATTTTTTAAACATTAGTTTTGGTGCCACAGAAATGATGAACAGCTGCTTTAAGACTAAACAATGATTTTCTTAGTACAATTAATATGTTGATACACCACACCGGTGAAACAAGTCTGTTACACAGCACTCAAATTATATATATATTTTTTAAAATAATTATTTTATTTGTCAAGGATGCATTCAATTAATCAAAAGTGACAGTAAAGACATTTATAAGGTTACAAAAGATTGCTTTTTCAAATAAATGTTGTTCTTTTGAACTTGCTATTCATCAAATAATACTAAAAAAAAGAATATTCAGCTTCAAAAAAATGTCAGCATTGATAATAAATGTATCTTGAGCAGCAAATCAGCATATTAGGATGATTTCTGAAGAATCATGTGACACTGAAGACTGGAGTAATGATGCTGAAAATTCAGCATTGCATCACAGAAATAAATGACATTTTAAAGTATATTCAACTAGAAACAGTTATTTTCAATTGAAATAATATTTTAAATAATTGTAAATGCTATTAAATTGCTATTAACACGGCTTCTCTCAGTAAGTTAATATCACGATACACCACACCGGTGAATCAAGTCTGTTACACAGCGATCAAGCCATATGAAGAATAAAGAAAAACTTTAAAACTAGACTAATAAACAAGAGAAATATATATATATATATATATATACAGTGGGTACGGAAAGTATTCAGACCCCCTTAAATTCTTTGTTTCTGTAAGGGTTTTTCCCATTTATTTTCTCCATAGGCATTTAAAGTATTTTCAATAAAAAATAGAAGCCATTAACCCGAAACTAACCAGCTCCAAAATGAATAACAAAAACAATATGTTTTTGAAAGAGTCTCTCATGCTCACCAAGGCTGATAAAAATACAGTAAAAACAGTAATATCGTGAAATATTATTACAATTTGAAACCTTTTAAGGGTACTGCTCCAGGGACAAGCTGTTGTACCCCAAAAGGTACAATTCTGGCCCCTTATTTTTCTGTGTGAAGAATCATATACCATCACCTAATAACTTTGGAGCTCACGCTAGATCTATCTTGAAGACTTTACATGTTATTGCTCAAAAGCAGTTTATGAAGAATATGAATGAGACTTTCTGAAAACAGACTGTTGTGCTTTATATTGCTATAAATCTGGGTTGAGGAAAACGGATCTGAGCAGGTGAGCAGAGTGAAAGCAGAAGTACAGCAAGCGGTGAGGTTTAGTAATGAAGGAGAGGTGCTTACAGGGTTAGCTGTGTTCTCTGCTGCGTCCCCTGCAGCGGGTGAATAAGGGCCCTCTCGTCTGGGGCTGGAGTCTCGCAGCAGGGCCAGCTGAGTGTCTACAGCCTGTTTCTGCTGCTGTAGTTTCCACGTGTGGCCCGCCTGAGCGCTGAGCTCTCTCTCCAGCCCACAGACAGCGCGCTCCTTTAGTTTAATCTCATCCATCTACAGGACAGAACACAGCACAGTCACACACATTCTGCCTTAAACGGGACACAGTCAAAGTAAGAATGCATAAAACATGACCGGCAGTCCGCAGGAGGAAACACAGTTACCACGTTCACTCTGGACAGGAAATCACACGAAAGTCCAGGGTTATTTTAGAATCGTTGACATATTATTATAGACTTGATTTTGTTTTATTAGTTTTTATTTTCCATTTTAGTTAGTTTTAGCATTTTTGTGTGTATATATATATATATATATATATATATATATATATATATATATTTTTTTTAATATGTATATATTTTGTTTTTGTCTATAGTTTTTATAAATTTGTGTGTATTTATATATATATATATATATATATATATATATATATATATTTTTTTTAATATGTATATATTTTGTTTTTGTCTATAGTTTTTATAAATTTTTAGTTTTTAGTCAGTCTTAGTTTTTTTGGTACATCAAGTTGAACTAAATGAAAATCAGAAACGTTCCTTTGGCAACTATCTGAATCAAAATAATTAAAATAAATATTTTATTTTAGTTAATGTTTCTTTAACCATTGCAATCTATCAGTCGTATAATGCATGGTAATGGTAACAAAATCTATGAGAGTAAAAAAAAACATGCACAGACAAATCCAAATTAAACCCTGCGGCTCGTGACGACACATTGATGTCCTAAGACACGAAACGATCGGTTTGTGCCAGAAACCGAACAGTATTTATATCATATTTTACCTCTAATACACCACTATGTCCAACTGTCTTTGGGCGCGCGCACGGCATCCGGTGCGTGAGGTGTGTACGCGCTCTGGCGTAGTTTACGTTAATGGGTGTGTTGATATCCAGCCGAAGAGCAATCAAGCATAACTTCAGGCGAGCAGGCTCAGAAGTTGGGAATACGTGGAAAGTCACCAATCCCGAATGAGTTCGCACGAGAGAAAGTAATCTTTTAGTTTTAAGTCGGTTTGAACAATCCGGATAAGTGTAAGTAAGTACCATTTTGATTAGCCGTCGTACCTACAATGACTTAAATCAAAAATCATTGTGTTTTACTGAAGAAACAAAGTCACCTACATCTTGGATGCCCTGGGGGTAAGCAGATAAACAAAATTTTCATTTTTGGGTGAACTATCCCTTTAAGCACACGTGTGGTTTTGCTTACAGTTTCTGGTTCACTTGCAAAAAGGGCAGTGTGAAAGCGAACCGCACCAAGCAAACTAAAAAAATCAACATTGTATTTGGTCCTGACTAAAGCAAGTGAACTAGCGAACTTTCCTGGTGTGAATACACCCTTATTTACCCCTAAATTGAGCATATTACTACCTAAAGTGTACATATTAGTACCTTTTTTGAACAGTTTCTGCTCCAGTAACAGCGGTCTTTTTTTTCTGACAGTCCATAAATGGTATAAAGTATAGGAGTCCAAATGCAACATAAATCCATGCAAAAGTGCTTCTGCACACCTACACAACCTGTAGAGAATCAGGTGTTTCTGTGCTATTGGATGTGTTCTGACACTCAGAGCACGCGCCACGTCTATAGGAACAAAGTGATCCCATAGTACTTGTGTATCAGTGAGAGAAAGACCGTATAAATCCATTTCATAAACTCCTCACAGCAACTAAACAGCAGCAAACAGAAGCACCACTCAAAGAAATGAACTGCACTGCTTGCTTTCTCTGCCTCTCAAATACACACATCCATTTATAGCTACTGTACCTCTTGTGATTCAGTTCTCTGTGAGCGAACTATTCGAGATTTTTACAATTCCTTTTACGTTTGGACATGCAAATGGCAAATCTTTAGGCTGACCTTTCACAAATCACAGCTCTAATAAATCATCTAACTGGAAAAATGGCCTCATGTACAGTCCAGAAATAGTTCACACAGACCTTGAACAGCAGTTCAAAAGAAGCATTACACTCCAATTATGCACCGATTCAAACACCGCATAAGATTTATACATCTCAGTTTCTAAAACCTGCATGGAAATGGTAATTAGCTCAATATCTTTGACAGTTAAAGTGTGAACTGATGGACTGATCAAATTCTTTCAAACTCTGACTGGAAAGGGAGAGACTGTGGCTATAGTTGTCACACTTTTTACTCCGGTGAATATTTTTCAGGTTTATTTCTGAAAATCAATTTTTGTACAGACACATATCTTTAAGTCTTTCTAAAAAATAGCCTAATGAATATTTATATCCTGAGAAAAAAAGGTACCTGAATCGCACTCAACTCAAATGTTTGCTTGTTTTTTTTTTTAAGAAATTTATTTTGTTGTTTTTTTCCAGCAAACTAATCAAACTTGACAGTAAAGACATTTAAAATGTTACAGATGATCTTTATTTCAAATGCTATTCTTCTGAACCTTCTACTCAAAGAAACCTGAAAAAAACGTGCATTACAGTTTCCTCAAAAATATTAAGCAGCACAAGCCTGTTTCCAACTTTTCTCTTGCAATTCTGAGTTTACATCTTACAATTCTTACTTTGTTTCTCACAATTCTGAGATACAAAGTTGGAAGGAGATACAAGCTCAGAATTGCATGATAAAAAACTCATAATCCTGAGAAAAAAGTCAGAATTGTGAGATATGAACTCAGAATTTGGACTTTTTTGTGCAGAACTCTGCGTTTCAATTCAAAATTGTGTGTTAAATAGAAAAAAGTTGTTTTAAACGGCAATAATATTTCACAATATTACTGTTTTTACTGTATTTTTGATTAAAAAATGTGGTACCTTGGTACTAAAAAAAACCTACTACTGTATTTTCACCTAAATTTAAACAGTAAAACTGATGAAACAAAACAATCAACGAAACAGCAAAGACAAAAAAGATAACATTGTGACAACTAGCCCCGGTAAACATTCAAACCCCCTCAGTTGAAATCTCTGTAGAGACACTGTCTATATAATTCTTCACCATACTGAAGAAGATACCACATTACTTTAACTCATCAAAATGTGTTGAGCAATTTCAACGTCAACTTTTTATTATTATTTTTTTTTAACTTGATTTTTAAGTCAGTTTAATGTAATTTAAGTTCAAATGATTTGCACAACCAAGTTGATTATACTTACAAATTCTAATTCAGCAACTGAATTAAAGCTCTCAAATTGAAATAGGTGAAATTTATTTACAGTGTATGTGTTATATACAAGTATATATAAATAAATAAATAAATAATAAAAGTAAAAATAAAAACGTAATAAAAAATGATAAATGAAAAATCAATTAAAAATACATATGGATAAAAATAAATAATACAAATAAATGAAAAACAAAATCTTTCAAAAAGTGTAAAAACTCAATAACTGAAATTTATTTGCTGTGTACCCAAAAAGGGATTACATGCTGAGATACTAGCAATGTTCTGTTTATTATTATAAAGTGCAAAATACATAAATACATACATACCCACCCCAAATGAATATATACTGTATATACAGTATATATTTATTAATACAACTTTGTGAAATTACATATTGCTATAAATATATATATACATTAGGGGTCGACCGATTATCGGTATCTGACATTTTCAAAGCAAATTTGAACAACTTCCAAGATATTTTAAAATCATTTAAAGAAAGTTTTTGTCAGAGCTTTGTTATTCTTAATTTTGACATTAACTTTCATTTTTACACTAGACATATATATCAGTTATCAGTCCACTTGATTAGTAATAATCGATATCGGCAGTGACCCTGAAAAACACCTATCGGTCAACCCCTAATATATCAATTAAATAAAAAAAATAATTTTTGGAACAATTTTGTTCAATTGAATAGAATAATTTTCTATTTACTTGAATGACACTTATTTAAAAAAAAACTAATTATTCATAACAAAAGATAGATACATACAAACAAGCATTACTCAATGTTTTGTTGCTCTGTCATGTAAAAATGTAAACCTATAAATATATCTACCATATACACAGCCCTAAATATCCATACTTCTCAAAAAATAGTGAAACATCCTGCATCTTCTCCATCACTTGGGTCATCTCTACTACACATATCATCCACAGTCCTGACTCAATGCTGTTTTCCACAATATTTCTCACATTTAGTAAGTCCTGAAGCGATATAGAGTAGATCGCTCAGCCACATGAGAGCGATCAATACCAGCGGCCACTGACTGCAGAGATATTTTCATACTCCAGGAAAAAACAGATGGCAAAAAGCCCAGAACAAGAGAGGCTCTGAAGGGAAGAAAGCAGCTTCACTTTAAAGTGTAGTACACAAGGACACACACTGCCATTTTAAGATACACACGTAGGCTAAATATAAAATGTGAACCAACTGATATAAAACTTTGAAGCTTTAGTGGGGGATTTGGAGGGAATATATTAACTTTAAGCCCCGCCTTAGAAACGTTACTGGCCAATACTACCTTAGCAACTGTTGCCGCCCTCCATATCAGATTTTTACGCTTTCTAAAACATGTCTATGTACTGTAAATCTTGTGTTTTCAGATCATCTTGAATGGATTTTGACAGAAATTATCCAAAGATACAGTACTGGAGCATTTGTACCCAGACAATGTACCCAGAGAGAACACAAGCAACATTTTTTTCCGCTTGTATAAACCTTTAACTAAATCTTTTAAAAATAATACACAGTGTATGGCAGGGAATTATACTCGGTTTCAACATCAGTAAAACCACCCACATTTGCGCGAAGGTAAATAAATTGTTTCCTTGATACTGATTTGCAGTGTTTGCTGTTTTTAAATCACTTTACTGCATAATTTATTTATTTAAAGAAAAAATGTGGATAAAATGTGTCATAATTCCTTCCAGCCCACACAAGAATAATAGCCAAACACTTTATAAACACTTCTGACTGAAAATCAAGCATCGCATTAAACTCTGTAGCTGAGGTAGCTTATAAAGCTCGTCTAAGTAGGAAGGAAAACATTTTATAAAAAATAAAATAGGTGGGGCTTAACAAGCAAGGGGCGGGGCTTCAATCAACTGATTTGAATTTGAATGGAACTTGTACAGCAATTTGAATTCTTACAGAAGTGTGTTGTAATCATTACGTGAATTTTTGCTAAATAAACGCAAATTCATAATTCCTTTCATCAAATTACATGACTGACCAATAGGAACATTTCCAGTTTGCATCATGGCAGCTATGTAAACCGTGTGAGGCTCTGCCAGTTAACAAAAGACTTTCATTCAGCACATTAACTGCACAGACAGTCCCTGTGGAGAAACCTGGGGTAAGTGTTCTGTTCAACCTGTACAGCTTTAATTATCAGCTACCACCCAAGCACCCAACCGACTGAGTCATTAACTGACAGATGAATTGATTGATTAATAGTGCATGGCCTAAAGCGTATTACGCACCAGTCTGCGGATCTCTCTTTCACACTCTCTCTTGATGCGGTTTATTTCCTCCTGGTTGAGATGGTAGATGCTGCGGATCTCGGCGGCTTTGATCTTGTCGGCTTGAACGGCCACGCTTAAGGCCTCCTCCATCTGCCTCTTGACCAACTTCAGCTCGGAGATCTCCTGCTGCAGTCGCATGCGCTCCCCTTCGAAAGTCCTCCTGCACTCCTCTCGCGCCTCCGCCATCAGTGCAGACTTCACCTGTGGTGGCAGAGATAACATATGGCAATTATATTCAATATCGGTATGTTTTTGTACTTCATTTGACTTCCATGCCAGTGGCTGTGTGGCAGCAGCAATATACATTAAATAAATCAATAAATGCACTGCTCTCTTGTCTCCTCTGAGGCTGGGACTGTAAATAGTGTTCTGTGCAGCCAAATACAGAACAGTTAGCATATTTTGCTCAAACTTTCGCCATGGGATGCTTGCGAAAACACAATAACGGCGCCATGGGTGTAAACTTACATCCCTATGCCACGTCACCTAGGGAGCGAAATCAGATGCGCTCATTTTCTCAGACGCTTGCAGAAAAAGGCTTACCAAAACAAAGTTACTGGGTTAATCTTTTTCATGTTTCCTTGGTTGGTAGATGCACCAGGGACCTGATTATAGCACTTAAAACCTGGAAAAGTCTTTTTCAGGTTTTTTATGATATGTCACCTTTAAAATAATATGGTAAGAAACACCAGTTTGCAAAATGAGTTGTTCTGTTCAGCTAAAAAAATAGCTGGAAGAATGACACCGGAAGCCAGACACATTCAATTTACAAATTCCCACTCTTACGGGAAGCTCCTTTGGGAAAAAAAGTATGTATCAAGTCTTGCTATGACATTATTTTGCCCATTTTATCACTCTCCAAGACAAGAATTGTAAATCTGAGCATGCTGACTTTTCCTTCACAAGCCACATGATTTTAGGTATATCTGTAGTACAAGCTGTGGAGAAGTTGAATACTTATGTTGAATACTTTCCTAACCCAATAAGCAACAATAATAGACATGCCTGCCTTACCAAACACCTCTAAAAAAAAACTAGGTTGGAGTCTGAAGGAATGTCTTTACTGTTAAGAGCAGAAAAAGTCTCTACTCCGCTGCCTTGTATTAATCTATCTCTGCTCACTGGCAGCCAGATGGAGGCAGTGACCCTGAAGTGAAATGATATGGCTGACACCACACCACCCTGGACCAGAACTGGGTCAGACAGTCACTGGACACTTTCGTCTGTTTTCAAATGATCAAAACAGCAAAGAGAAGTCATTTTGGGCCTACAGGGAGTTTGCATTTTAATGCCGCGTAAGAGAGCATGTGGAGACGAGGTTCGAGTCCAATGAGAGTCAGCGGTGCTGGAGGACGGACGGACGGACGGACTGACGGACGGACGGACGGACGGACGGACGGACGGACGGACGGACGGACTGACGGACTGACGGACTGACTGACTGACTGACTGACTGACTGACTGACTGACTGACTGACTGACTGACTGACTGACGGACTGACGGACTGACGGACTGACGGACTGAATGAATGAATGAAATGAATGAATGAATGAATGAATGGTTTTACGAGCCTCACTTTTCTTTGCACCAGACAGACAGACAGACAGACAAGTCAAGCTTCACAGACAGACAAATGCTGTGAATAGAGCTTAACTATTATTCAACCCAGAACATATCTTTATTTAATGTAAAATAAATAATGCATTTAACAATAATAGACATGCCTGCCTTACCAAACACCTCTAAAAAAAAAACTAGGTTGGAGTCTGAAGGAATGTCTTTACTGTTAAGAGCAGAAAAAGTCTCTACTCCGCTGCCTTGTATTAATCTATCTCTGCTCGCTGGCAGCCAGATGGAGGCAGTGACCCTGAAGTGAAATGATATGGCTGACACCACACCACCCTGGACCAGAACTGGGTCAGACAGTCACTGGACACTTTCGTCTGTTTTCAAATGATTAAAATAGCAAAGAGAAGTCATTTTGGGCCTACAGGGAGTTTGCATTTTAATGCCGCGTAAGAGAGCATGTGGAGACGAGGTTCGAGTCCAGTGAGAGTCAGCGGTGCTGGAGGACGGACGGACGGACGGACTGACTGACTGACTGATGGACTGACTGACGGACTGACGGACGGACGGACTGACTGACTGACTGACGGACTGACGGACTGATGGACTGATGGACTGACGGACTGAATGAATGAATGAATGGTTTTACGAGCCTCACTTTTCTTTGCACCAGACAGACAGACAGACAGACAAGTCAAGCTTCACAGACAGACAAATGCTGTGAATAGAGCTTAACTATTATTCAACCCAGAACATATCTTTATTTAATGTAAAATAAATAATGCATTACCAAATCAGAGCAGTTTATCAGAACAGACTGTGGCACATTATTTGTAATGTGGCCTCTCTATCACAGCAAGATAAAGTGCAAAATATAAAATTAAATAAATTATACAAACATGTGAAGGATCCACAAATGGCCGTGCAGTGGAGACAGGGTTGCACTAGGTTGGAAAACTCTTTTATGACAGTCTTTGATGTTTGAAGGAAACAAAAAAACTATGGCAGAGAAAAACATCAAAAACATCTGAATCTCAGTCTTCCTTCCCTGACAGACATCATCTTGACATTTTGCTCTGAGGGAGACTGAAACAGGGGTCAGGAAATAGGACTGAAACTAGGAAAAAAACAATTTGTGGAAAAAGTGGCAAAAAAAAAGCTATTTTCTCAAAAAACACAGTACTCTATAACACAAAATTCTCTCCCATGTACATAAAAACCATTTATAAAGCTACAAAAATGACTTATGAACAACATATGACCAACCACATTTGCATATAAGCACCTATTCAATACAAATTTATCCTACAGTTTGAAATACAACAGTATGTGAAGGTTAACCAATCAGAACATACTTAATTTGCATATCTTCAAAGGTTCAAGAGCAAACACCACCTGTTTAATTCTAATGGTCAGGAGACAGCCATGAACTTTGAAAAAAACAAAAAAACATGAACTATAACCAACTATTAACTAATTTGGTTATCCTAGTTTTATCACAAAAAACATCTGAATCTCAGTCTTCCTTCCCTGACAGACATCATCTTGACATTTTGCTCTGAGGGAGACTGAAACAGGGGTCAGGAAATAGGACTGAAACTAGGAAAAAAACAATTTGTGGAAAAAGTGGCAAAAAAAAAGCTATTTTCTCAAAAAACACAGTACTCTATAACACAAAATTCTCTCCCATGTACATAAAAACCATTTATAAAGCTACAAAAATGACTTATGAACAACATATGACCAACCACATTTGCATATAAGCACCTATTCAATACAAATTTATCCTACAGTTTGAAATACAACAGTATGTGAAGGTTAACCAATCAGAACAGACTTAATTTGCATATCTTCAAAGGCTCAAGAGCAAACACCACCTGTTTAATTCTAATGGTCAGGAGACAGCCATGAACTTTGAAAAAAAAAAAAAACATGAACTATAACCAACTATTAACTAATTTGGTTATCCTAGTTTTATCACAAAATAAGAATGAAGATTTTTCAAGTTTTATATATATATATATATATATAAATCCGCTTTAATACACTTAAAATAACAAAAGCAGTCAAATGTCAAAAGTTGTGATTTTAATGAAATCGACAATCTGCAAAGGATTGGGAAAATATGTTCAAATACTCAATTTAATGTCAAAGACCTTTACATAAGCACAAGTTTTGGAATAAATAAATGAGCTTTTTCACAAAATGTGTAATTTTTTGTCAGTTTAGATGTAGTAAAACACTCACAGATGATGCAGAAAACATCTGGGTCATGTTTGTATTTTTCTTATATTTTTTAATAATTCAGGATTAGGCATAAAATAATGTCTTCATAATAATCCATACATGTGAGAATCGGCAGAGAATTGAGCAAATACTTTTAAACCGACTCAGAGGAAGACAGAAATCATGTCTTTGTCTCAGTTTTTCTGGTGATTAAGGAATAAAACAAGACTTCACCTTGCAAATGGTTGTCGAAAGCAACAATGCTACAAAATGCACATCATATTTTGTGAAAAAGTATGAAGTGCTACAGCAGGGGTGGTGAACTCCGGTCCTGGAGAGCCGCAGCCCTGCAGAGTTCAGCTCCAACCCAAATTAAAACTCACCTGCCTGTAGCTTCCTA